TCTCCCTAGACACCCGTCCTCATCGGACCCTTCCTGTTGTTTCTCCCTAGACACCCATCCTCATATGACCCTTTCTGTTCTGTCTCTCTAGACACCCGACCTCATGTGATCCTTTCTGTTGTGTCTTTCTCGGTATCAGTCCTCATAGAACCCTTTCTGTTGTGTCTCCCTAGGTACCCGTCCTTATATAACCATGGTTGTTATGGCTCCCAGACACCCATCCTCATATGACCCTTTCTGTTCTGTCTCCCTAGACACCCGTCCTCATAGGACCCTTCCTGTTGTTTCTCCCTAGACACCCATTATCATATGACCCTTTCTGTTCTGTCTCTCTAGACACCCGACCTCATGTGTCTGTTGTGGCGTAATTCTGTCGAATCCCAACCTACGGATATAAATAGACAGTAAATATCATGTTAATAGTTTGTGTCATGATGTCATTTATGATAAATTGTCATCTTATGATGGCCTTGTTCAATTCTATATTTGCGTTGAGTTTTGTGTGTAGTAGGCATAAAGATCCCTATCGATAGTCATAGTTCCGGCATTCTTATAATCATAAACGTTTGGTGCTAAGTAACTGTATTATCATTACATTTCCAGCAAACACGCAGACATACACAGATTGGGAGATATTAGCCAGGTGGCATAGGACTAGCAGTAAGCGCCTGATAAGGCATCTCCTTCGAATTCCTCAAAATTGTACTGATTAATGTATATGCTAATTGTATAAATTGTATATCTATGTACCGTAAAGCGCTTTAGAGTGGTCTATGTTTGCTAGAATGGGCGCTTTATCAAATGTTGTATATTATAATTATTATACATCATGCTTAGTGATGGTCCAATGAAAGTACTATGACGTTGATAATAATAATAACGCTTGTATTCACGTTTAACATGGTTGGCCTTTCTCGGAAAATATAGCATCTAGAATCTTGATTATAGTGTTGACGTGTCCCTTGATTTTATTTATCTAGGTAATTACTGATTGACGAGCATATTGGTTTCGGGAAACGAAATAGAAAAAAATATGTTATATAGATATATATAAAGAAAAAAGATATAACGATCGACCTCAAAACTAGAAGAAACACTGTGATGTTAAAACATGGATTCTTATTCTTATTAAATGTAGCAATACATTTGTATGAATGTTTACCTCTTTTGTACAAAACTGCCAAAATAAGTGATAAATTCATTATTTTTTAGAGTACAAACTTTCCTAGTATTATAGAACAGTTCATCGAACAGTTGACAAAAGGATCTTATCTAAGGATTATATTCCGGTAACGGTAACGTGTTGAAATGTTAACTAATACTAGAAACAGATAGCGTTTTGTTCCCAAAAGGAGTTCCAGTAATTGCAACGTTGAATTTTAAATTGATCATCTTTTACATCTGCTTGCTAGACTGTTATTTTCATTTTACTAAATGAAGCGTCTGTCAAGATTGTAAATAACTTTTCATTCCAGCTTTCTTCAAACCAAAATGAAACAAAAAAAACTTTTAAATTGAGACGTTTGAATTAAAATTTTACTGCATTTTATGTTTTAGTTATCATCACATTAATCTCTTATTAAACGTTGAATGTAAATAAATTGTATGTTGACACTATAAAGTTTTAAAGATCTATTTCATAAAATGGATGAAATAAAAACAACGCATCTTAGTATATTCAATATAGAATTTCAGCTGACATTACTTATACAATGTATGACATTGTTCTGTGACGTTGGAGTCGATGTCACCCCTACATTGAGAACTAAGAATTTTGAGATTTATTAATAACAATGTTATAATAAGTGAAAACAGTATAAATTAGCAAACCGCTTGATATTGTGTACACTTTGAGTTTCGTAACATAAAGTGATTTTGTAAACAATTGCAAAGTATACATTAACCTAAAATTTTGCTTGGTTCATCACAACAAAAAAATGGTCGGTGTTATCACAAACTGTTAATTTAAACAATGTATGTGTAATAATTAACTGTATGTAGAAGTACCTCTCTAATATAATTACGTTTCAATGGAGACGGCTTTATATAAAATTTAAAACATCTTGTTGCCTGATCCTATTCCTATATACCTGTGTACTCGTTATATATGACGAGTGAAATTAAGTATTGTTTAAACCAAGTATACGTTGTCTAGAAGTTCGTCTGTATGGTAAATGATTGTAGCGGTTGGGTTATTTAGTTGTATGATTTGTCAGGAATTATCAAATGCTAAATTTAAAATGTATAGTTCCTTCATCAGATTTTTTTCTTTCTTTTTCTTCCACTGCTCCGTAGGTATTTCCATGGTGGTTCTCTCTGGTTCGTTTGTTTTGTAAAGATGTCGATTATAGATCCTGGTATATGCCAAAAAGTGCACTTCTTCAATTTAAAAAACGTAGTGAAACGTCAATTAAGAAACCGCCCACAGCGATGCCTCACAAGTATTTATTTACATGTAGATATGTATTCAAATGTTCCTGTTGGAAACATTGTGTCCTTGTGATGTTGGTAAATACAAAAAAATGGTAACGAATATTTACAAGTACTTTCTATCAGCTTTCAGCAGGCTCTTCAGGTGAAAGAAAATCAACTCTCCTATTCTCCTGAAAAACTTGTTGAAACAGGCAGAGACTACTTGTGAATCATGGGTTTTCGCTATTTCACGTTCAGATAAAATTACATCAAATAAATTTGGAAATAGCTGTCACCCAGCAAATGTATCCTGATTAACATTATCTATATCCACTCCAGTGAGTGATTTATTTAGTATGAACAAGGTGTTTTGGCGAGGTGATCATACCTCCCACAATACACATAACATATAACCACAGGATGACGTCACGCGACGTGAAACTATTCAAATATAATCAATGGGCTTGGAACCAGCTAGCTTTGAATATATAAAACATATATTTTTCATTTCATAAAGATGTGCTTGCCTCCTTTATCTGCATATTTCCCATCAAGTTCTTTGCAGACGTTTATGCAATCATTGTTTATTTATGTTTATATATTCAAAAACAACAAGAAAATACCAGAGTGTCAACAATACCATACTCCTAACTCAAAATCGATAAAACCAGGGCAAAATATAAACCTTGAAAAAGAACAAGAGTGAGACCAGGTGTTCAAGAAGGGTAAGCGTCCGCTGATTCTTAACTGAATCCAAGTTATGCCACGTTCTCATATCGATAACTTGGGCAGTGATAACAAAACCACAAGCCACTCTAAAAGTGCATCATAAAAATATTGACCTTTATATCACGCGAAGACAATAGCATATTTCCCTGCAGGATCATGAGGGCGACCATAAATCTTGTCATAAGTCTTCATCAACAAGCATCTTTTAAAACCCTGTTGTCAGTTTTTCCGTCAGCAGCCGACAGCTATCACGGAAGTCACGATAAATGATATATGGAGTGCTGACGTAACTGCGACATTTTAACACTGTAGGTAGGGAAACAGGGAAGTTCCTATCGAGAAAGGATTAACATTTTTTTTAAATAACTGTCTGCATACTTGTCCTTTGAATGCAGGACATAAATCTCTTTTCGCACCTACAGTACATCGTCCCTGTGATCTTTTCTTTGTTGTTCTGCTGTAAACTCGCGGGCCCACATTCATGAACATGTTCTCATGCTCAAACTCAGAGTCTGTGTTAAATAAATGAACTTTCACACTTTTCCATGATTTGAAAGAATTTCGAAGATTCTCCATGCAGAAAGCTGTTTAAAATGTACCTTTTCATTGTCACATGGTTTGAGCACAGAGTCCATGCTTAAGCACGAGAACGGTTTCATGAACACGGGCACAGAGCGCTTCATTTCCAAAGCTCGCTGTCATTGTAGTGTCCATATGGCAGAGTAGTAAGTACATGTAGCCTTTAACTGCCGTCAAAAGTTGTGTACCACGTGGTACAATAAACCACAGAGGAGTAGATCTCACAGAAGATTTGTGTATATGTTTTACCCGGGGTCAAGTATAGACTCCGCAAGTCAGGATTAGAGGAGACTGTTCTTAAACGGAACTCTTGAAGTTATCAAAACACTATCCCTGAAATTAACATCTGGCTTACCACTTAATAGGGATACAATTGTACTATTTGTCATGCGGTGTAAAGCGCTTTAAAGTGATTTTGCAAATTATAAAGGGCGCGATATAAATGTTGTATATTATTATATTTATATATTAAACGTACGATATTGTTTTAACACATGATATACTTATAGAAGTAATCGATATAAAGTCAGTTACTGGCACTCTGTAGAATCATATTGCGTGAGCAAGATATATTGGGGCGATATAACGTTAGCTAAATATGCAGGGACGATATAACGTTATCCAGATATATTAAAGCGATATACCTTTATCTAGATATGTTTGCACTTGACATTGCCACATGATTTGAGCACAGAATTACGGTGTCATAAAGGTTATTGTATTGAAGTATCTCTATCATTACATATTGGATAAACATATATAAACTGTAGGTTATTGTTTTGACGTATGCCAGAATATCAACGATATTAATTTTAAACAATGTATTTGTTCCCTTTGACACACACATTTCTGTGATGTTTTTCATAGTTTGTTTGTAATGCCGTGTAAGAAGTCTACATAAATCTGTTAATCAATTTACAAGTATAAAAACTGATATTTATATCAATTTCTTTTGCATCAAATATTAAGTCAGCGAAATAGCCATTTTTAATATTGGAAGTATAATGTTACTGGGTTTGTATTCATGAAACTATTCCTTAGCTCTAGCATGAATTTAAGCCAAAACCACCACTCTCTTGCATGTGTAACTCGCAAAAATCTTTGGATAAAGCGACAAAAAGTATCCTGAATCAAGTCTTTCCATTGATCCTCCAAATGATTGAAAAATGTACCTTTCAAAATTAATTATCAGAGCGAGGGGATTGGACTGAAGCATACAATCTTGGTTTAAGTATACGAAGAGTTTCATGAATACACGTCCCGATTTCATCTAGCAATATACTAGCAGGGTAACCAAAATTTGCCAAGTAGTTAATTAATTTATTTCTTTAGGTACACTTATATACATAGGGTGACATAATTTTACAATCATACTTAACATTGTAAATGTGCTTATGACATTATATACAAAAATATAACAACATGATCTCCAGCATTATACACATAGTTATAAATTAAGTATCGCCTACTAATATATACCACAACATGTGAACAGAACCATTACTTCAATTAGGGGTAAATGTCAGTATCATCCCTTTGATGTATCGTCTGACACATGATCCTCGAAGGGACAAAGCCTGTCTAGATCAGTCGTTCTCCGTCTCTAAACAGCTTCTATTAAAACAATGTGTATAATCCATTAGAATGACGTGGAAACATCTATTGCTGGAGGTTGTCACGTGGTTTAACAATCACTCGGCCAATGTTAGCCTTTGATGTTTTAAACGTCATTTGAGTTTCTTATGACTCTTTGGCAGTTTATTTACATGTCCTCAGAGCCGAATATTGGTGTTCCAAGAAGAAAATGTCTTATGCCGTCCACAATATCATTTATCAACTCGAACACTAGATTTTCCTAGATGTTCATAAGGGGATATATAATCACAGCACTAAATCAGTAAATTGTTTGTGGATATTTAACGTTGGATCAGTTTCGATAAGGAGACATGCACTATATTTTCATTTTGATTACAATACGAATTACTATTTTAACACTATCACAAATGTTTAAGTTTAGGACATATTTTTCACCTTCAGCGAAAGGGATAAATTAACATGCAAATTACTAACAGGCATTCGACAGTTTTTGTCATTAACGAATACTTAACAAGCTTACATTTAGATATCAACATCTGTGTTGATTTCAAAATTGGAGAATTCACAGGAACTACTAGAACTATAATCATGTCATTTTTCATACCGGACTGCATAACACACAGTGTTAATAGTTTATGTTAATCTGAATCCAGCGTTTGACACAATATTGTGAATACGAAACTGTCCTGTAGATGTCCTTGAGTGTCCGTATATTAATACAAACAGTACAAATGTCCCATCACTTTTGAGCACATGGATCACTACCTATTGACAAGTGTTTAAGTGCAGTGTCTTTCTGCATGTCTTGCACTTCACATAACAACACCAGTAGTATTTGCATTCACAACGTTCAGTGATTTCTATAGAAAAACTTTTGAATCCTCTTCCACAGCACATGGTATCACATCCTCCCCAACCGTCTCCGTTCCTCTCACATACCCTGAAAAAGGAAAAATATACAAATCAGCTACATAGGTGATATGAAGGATGTCACCTCACTGTATACTGTAGAGGTACTTCATACACATAGATGCATTTCAAGAAACATCAGAATTACAAATCAAAATGTTCTTGAAATCAGTTAAAAACACACTGTGTAAACAATACATTAGTACAAGAAATACATGAATATTCAACATACTGTTAAAGTAAAAATGTTGGCGATGTGGAATTTGCCGCAATTTTTTTGTGTTTAGTAAATAAGCGCGAAAATATCAATATACGAATATTTTTATTTGTAGATAAATAACATAATAAATGCCTTTCAAAGCCCTTGCCAACACAAAAATAATATCCCCATAGCGATTAATCTGGTGAGTCACAGCGGGAACAACTCCACCATTGAAACTGCTCCATGTTACAGTAACTAGTCTTTATATTATCTTACATGAATCATTTTCTTTTGTCATAATTTATAACAGAAATTCCAATGCGCAGATAAATATACAGATTTTGTCTCCGCCTATGGAGGTAGAGTACGTACCTTCCTTTAGTACCCACCGACCCTGTTTTCGGGTCGGGACTACAGTAGTCCGGAGACTTTGTATAATAAAGCAGGGAATCCTTCGTTATCGATGAAATTTTCGGATTCTGCGGAAGGAACACTTTAACGCCTTTCCGTCGTTTCCTTTTAACCTCTACAGCACTTGTATAGCGCTGTTTTAATATGCTCCCGATGGCTGAGAAATCGGGAAGGGCCTTCCAGCACGTCTTGATGGAGCAGGAGCCTGAAACACCATGACACTTACAGGCCATTGTCAGGCTGTCAGACACGATCTGTAAAACAATTAGCACACACAATTAATGTTGGTTGTTTTCTCCGTGCTGTAATAAAATACATTGTGCAATCCAAGGATCTCCATGTATTATTATAAGTTTAATCAATTAAAATCAAAATAAGTATTTGACAGATAATGACCCTGTCACTAAGACTATACTTTGATTGCCATTGTTCTTTAATATGCATTTGTTAACTGAAGTAACAATGCATATACATTATGACGTCAGTTAACAAATGCATAATAAAGAACAATGGCAATCAAAGTATAGTCTTAGTGACAGGGTCATTATCTGTCAAATACTTATTTTGATAAATACATAGAATATAACGTACATATTGTACATAAACATTCATTTAAATGATTTTTTACAAACCCAATAAACAATGTATAATGCATGTTTATCAAACCCAATACACAATATATAATGCATGTTTGTCAAGCACAACAAACTATTTATAATGCATGTTTATCGAGCCCAATAATCTATATATAATGCAAGTTCATCAAGCCCAATAAACTATATATAATGCAAGTTCATCAAATCCAATAAACTATATATAATGCAAGTTCATTAAACCCAATAAACTATATATAATGCATTTTTGTCAACCCTAATAAATAATTATAATGCATGTTTATCCACCCAAATAAATTATGTACATTATATTTAATGCAAGTTCATCGAGCCCAATAAACTATATATAGGTCATGTTCATCAAGCCCAATAAACCTAATATGATGCATGTTTGTCAACCCTAATAAACTAGTATAATGCATGTGTATCAACCACAACAAACTATTTATAATGCAAGTTCATCAAGCCCAATAAACTATATATAATGCATGTTCATCAAGCCCAAAAGAAATATATATAATGCATGTTCATCAACCTCATTATTATATACATACCTTCCGACCTGCCGCATTATTATGGCGATTCATCTGTGCCTTTTTAGACGTTCGAATTTTACCACGTTTTGACAGAGAAGCGTCTGTAAAGCTTTCACTAAGATAAAGTCCAAACTTTACATCGTCGCCACATCCTCCCCACTTAAACTCGCCATGAGGGGGGCTGTTAGGGAGAGCTCCACAACTGCATTTTGTCGTCACACCTATACTGCACGCACGTGCAACAGAATGCACGAGAGATGCTGACGATATTGCGTAAAGATATGCCTGCTCCCTAGTACCTGTTAAAAACAAGTAAGAGTTTTAGGAATTTCAAACATAAAAAATACTCAAATATTAAATAAATAGTCGTAACATCTTCCTGTTGACACTTGCTCATCAAGGATTGGAGTCGTATAATGGCTGGATTTCGAGAACGAATTTGATGACTTGAAAATGATGACTGTTTATCACTTGACTTCAATTCTGAACACAAGCCATTGGACAGCTCATCCAATTTCATGTTTGCTCATTTCAAGCTTAAATACTTCTGAGGAACTGTGTTTTCGGTGTAATTACGAGGAGTGTTACTATTAATAGATAATGTTCAGCATTGTATAATATTGAATATTTTGACAAAAGCGAAAAATGCAGTCACTGATGCATTACAGAATTATTGATAAATATTTATTCATGTTAAATGAAAATGATCATGGTGCATGTACACTTATAATAGGAAAATGAGGTCAATGATGCATTAGAAATTTATATATTCTTCATCTAAATAAGACGGCGCAAAAACACCCTCAGCCTGTTTAATGATGACATGCGGAGTGAGAATCCTCCTTAAACAGACTGATACGAGAGTCTTTAACATATCTCTTAATTCAATATGCGAAAAGGATATTTTCACATATCCTTGTGTTACTGACACATCAATGAGATCCTCATTGTGTACACGGGTCTAACTTATATGTACATGACCCATGTAAGCCCATAAAACACTGGTTACGACGTGCGGGTATACAGCGGTAATACGGCCCGACCTGAAACCACACAGCACCACCGTGTAGTCCGCTTTGTAACGCGATGCTAAACTGAAAAGCAATCTTAAAATTGGCACGTCATAAAATCTAACACAACACCAAGTTGGTGCAATTTAATGTCGATATCTTTGTTAACAAAATCTTGTCAATTTGTACAATATAGTTTTATTGTACATGAATATCCCATTGATAGAGTAAACCCACAGTAAAACGACAATGGAGCGAGTAGGATTAATTCCTGGTAGAGTGTATGGAGCTTGCCCTGTCCTCTAGGCAGTTCTTTGTCTGCTACCCACATAAAGTTGGGCGCATTGAATGTCCTCGATGACAAAGCCTCCCCTGCACTGGATACTTTCATGGAGGTCCATTGTAGCCAGTTTGTTTATGGAGATAAGCTCTGGCTCTTCACACCTTTTTTCAGTACTATCACCCCTATCTAACAGCCACGCCAAACATCGGTAGCCTGGCAACAGGCTTACCCTTTGTACCCTCCCAGTATCTTATTTACACGTTTGAGACATTTTATATCTGCAACTTCCTCCTCTTAAACTGACTAAACAGCCATGCAATGGTGTTATTGTTCCCGTCTGAAATTTTATATATCCTCCTAGGTTTTTATAGTTCGGTTGATATATAGAGGTTCCTAAACGAGTGGTTGTTGGTTATCATGTGTTTCTTACTTGAGTAAGTAACAGTGGTTCCCGAAAGAGTGATTGATGGTTAAAATGTGTATCTAACTCTTGTTAGTTACAGAGGATCCCCAAAGAGTGATTGCTTATTATAATGTTTATCTAACACAAGTTGTTATGGCGTTATCATGTGTATTTAACTCTAGTTAGTCATTCAGGTTCCCTTAAGAGTGATTGATGGTTATCATGTTTATCTAACTCTAGTTGGTTATACAGGATCCCCAAAGAGTGATTGATGGTTGTCATGTTTTTCTAACTCTAGTTTGTTAAAGAGGTTCCCCGAAGAGTGATTGATGATTATAATGTTTATCTAACTCTAGTTTGTTAAAGAGGTTCTTAAAATAGTGATTGCCTATTATAATGTTTATCTAACACAAGTTGTTATGGAGTGATGGGTCGTTTTCATGTTTATCTTACAAAAGTTCTAATCGAGTTACCATGTTTATCTAACTCTAGTTAGTCAATGAGGTTCCTAAGTAACAATTGATGGATGGTTATCAATACGTTTTTTCAATATAAATAGTTAGGGAGGCCCTCGACGAGTGATGGTTTGTTATCGTATATTTCCTACTTGTGTTAGTTATAATGATTCCCAAACGAGTGATTGATTTTATTATGTTTATCTAGCAAAAGTTTTTTTCTAGTGTTTTTGAAAAGTTATTTGTTTTTATTTTATGTTTCATTATTTACTTATAGTTAGTTAGATATTTTCCAAACGTGTAGAAGTTTGTTGTTATATTTATCTAAATCTTAACTGGAGTTAGTTAGTGGGATTCCAACTGAGAGATGGTTGGTTATCATGTTTATTTAACTTCGGTTAGTTATAAGGGGCCTTTAAAAGGCTGTGGTGGTTTTTCATGTTTATTCAATTACAGCCAGTACCAAAAGTTGTAATGAGTGATGGTTTTTTTTCTTCTTAATCATGTCTGAATATCGGAAGTTTTCAAGATGGTAAAGGCCATTAAGATTACCGTGTATGTTTTTAACAATATGAAAAATTAATGACAATTAGTTATATTATGATAACCAACCACAACAGGTTAAGGGATTCCTCTCCTTCCATAACTTTCATACAATGTCATAAAGGCAAGGTTTTGTGGTGAATATATGATACCAGTTTCCTATAGGAGAAACAGTTGCAGTGAAGCATGACACCAAATGTACGATGCCGATGCGAAGAAGTCTTTTTACGTGATATCCTGATTGGATCAGATTGACCAATGAAATCACGTCGAAGATTCTACCAAAATGTGGGGAACACGTGTGTAGCATCCGGTTTCTTGTTGATTTCTTGCATATTTATCCGATGTTTTAGGAGTGAGAAACTCTACAGATTGGTTACAGGAGAAAACACTTCCTCTTTCGGAACTGTCTTGTAGAGTGTTATTAGTAGGGAATCACTATAGGAGGACTGTACATGTCTAAGACACAATTTTTCTTACCGCTTTTCACTCTGAGTTTGCGTTCCAATAACGGTTTTGTTCATACTTCGGTATTTTCTCTTTTCGGATTTTCTTTTCGATTATTTTTTCAAAATATGGTTTAATGACAAGACGGTTCTATCTATACGTTTATATATGCTTGTAGTATTTCGACCAAATGAGAAAGTTGATATTTAGGTGCAGCCTGGCTTAAAGATCCCTGTCCCATGGCACATAAAACTCTAGATAATTAAACTTAAGTTTTCCACACACACAGTAACAGCAGTATTAAGTTAGGGCCAGGAAACGACCGACTGATCAGGCACACATGCTCAGTTGGTTAGAGTGCCCGTATTTTGATCCAAGGTCAAGGGTTCGAATCCCAGCCTGGTTGTATTGCATGTTAACTCACAGAACACGTGTCCTGCTTGTTAAAACAGGTTCCACTTCGTATTTAAGTTTTCGGTGGTGGTATGGGGATCCTAAGATGTATAAGTGTGTTGATATGTTATCAATTGTTTTTTCTCGTGCGATCTTCTATTCAGAGTGACAATGCCACCCTAATTACTTACGTAGACGTTCTTAAGCTGACAACTATATCATTTATATTTTACGTTTCATTTAGGATTTCAATCACATACCTTTAACGTTATCAAACTAATAACTAGTTTTGATATACAAACGTCTTTACATCAGGTTCCGGTTTGATACTATAGTTTATAGTGATATCCTATTTACAAAACCACAAGCACATCACAATATAATTTAAAGTTTCGAGTTCACACACCTTGTTAATTAAAACCTGGTTTATATTTCAAATTTAAAGCTATCACGAAACCTGAGCCTAGACAAGATAATTTGTTTCAGTAATAGGACAGACGTATAAGAAAATCTAGTTTATATTTTAAAAGATTTTTAATTATCAGTATATATTTTTAAACGTGCATTATGCAATATCCCATACAAATAAGCATTTTGATTCATCCACCGATGAGTGGATACTAAAAATACGAAACTAAAATCACTTATTCATCCACTAGTGAGAAGATACTGAAAATACGAAAATAAAATTACTTCTTCATAAAAAACTAAAATCACTCACCTCTCACAAGGTCACGTGTAAGACGAGGGGCCTTCTGGATAGATGAACAGTTCCACCTCCGGTCACTGAACTGTGACTCGCATGTGTCTTTTGTAAGTATGGCAGCATGTGATACAGTGCCCATTAGGTCGAGATTTTGTTTACATATTTTAATCTGTCGTTTCACCATGCCGAAAGCTTTAGAACAGTTCTGGTTGCCTTGCCAAGGCTTCTGTTTACTCTGATACAAAGCTCTGAAAGAAATAAAGAAAAATTAAAGATAAATGGTAAAACACGTTTGGTATTTCATTTGAATATGTGTATATTTACATTGGGTTAATTCAAATATTACAGTGTATAAACAATAACTTTGAAAATTTCTTTACACGGAAACACTTAAAAGGTAAACAGACGTTCAATTAAATATCCAGCTAAATAGTGTAACTTAGAGATGTCCTAGTGTTTTTGCTACGATAATATATGGCTTAAAAATGTATATTAAATCAATAATCAACAATGTATAGCTTGTAAAATCATTTCAAATTCGACATGTAGAACATATCTGCATGTCAAATACTCGACATGGCTGACAAACATTCTAATTATCTTCAATTATTTATGTTGACATACAAACTTGGGCTAAATACTATTTTCGTGAAATACGGACCATCAGACGCTACCGTGGCTTTCGTGGTCGATTGACCACAGTGTAAATGTGCTATGTACCATTCTTAAGCGGTGTTTAGTCCATATAATGGGACAAACGAGTGACTCTCGTAAACAACTGTATCTACCTCTTCCCGTCAGCATATTATCCTGTCCAACAGACAGTCGCCTTTCATCTCTTCTTCATCTACAGATCGCCATCTCTGGCCTAATTTGTCGTGATAATGCTCACTGACAGACAATGCCACTAAACACTTGAATACCGTGAGTGAGGAACACCCTTTAAGCATTAGTCCTTTGATTTTTCTTGTAAATACGAGTTTTTTTCACCATTCTCTTAATTGCATTCGCACGAAACAAACATCCTGGTGCATTTCGTAGGATTTTTTTCAAAACTAAGATCGATTCAGACAAATTTTATAAACAAAGAAATAGGAACATAAATAAGGTAACATATCTAGCAAGGCTTCAGAAAACAAACATAGATGTTGCTTTTGTCACTAAAATACAGCTTAATAGGAACCATCAAAGATTTTTTTAAAACTTTCTTCCTTTCAACGGCATATCCCTTGTAAATTTGAGATGTTTCATGTAAGTCATGCCAGAACATTATAAACAACGGAGGATAAGAAGTAAACATGATGGTTGATGCCTACCCAAGTCGATTTGAGATTTGTACACAATGGTCGGTATGAAATGTATAAACAATTGTTGATTCCTACCCAGGTCCATTTGAGATTTGTACACAATGGTCGGTATGAAATTTATAAACAATTGTTGATTCCTACCCAGGTCCATTTGAGATTTTTACACAATGGTTGGTTGCTTACTTGTTGATTTGTCTGTAGAGACGTGATAGCAACCAAATAGTTCTTGCTATTTGAATTGGGTTTTTTATTATCATTTATTATATTTTCCAAAAATGGTTAACATAAACATATATATATATATATATATATATACAATGTACATGGGCGTCTAGAATCGCCTTTAAGTAATATACATACTTTCAAAATATTCGATCAAGTATCAGTATTCGTCATACATATATATTAACAAGTAAGTAAACATTCACATTTTTGATATAAAAATAAACTTCCGGATATCCTTGTCTGAATTATTTGAATTGTTTTTCCATATGATAATTTTGTATATAATGTAATATATATATATAAAAGCTTTTCATAATGCTTAAAAAATATTATAAATGAAAACGTATTCATTACTTTGATGCAAACTTTAAAAACAAACATTATTTTAATCATATACGACAATACATATATGTGAACTAACGAATTTTATCGGTTTATCAAATATTATATCAGTAAACAAAAGATATCTTGTGTGATAATGACGTTGTCTGCCCTTGTAGCATGTTCCCATGACTTTGTTTGAGAGAGGGTGTGTTAAATGCATATTGCGGTTATGAGTCGGAGAGAATGCCAGCATTCAAAACAAAGAAAACCGACTTTGTTATATAACAAGTCTAGTTCCCACATAGTTTTGTGAATGAATTATAAACTACCTCGTTAATGCTAGCAACAGGAAGTTTTCCTAATGACGAGTTCCCTTGTGTTTATTTAGCCTCAATTTACAAACGACATTATTTCGATTGTTTGTGATAAGGTTTCCATTTTATATAAACTTGGAAGGTACAAATGCACCGATCAAAGCCACATACCCAATTGTACTCAACACTGAAGCCGAAACAAACAGATTTGCTAGCAATTACACGGAACGTGCAGGGTTTCTGGAGGTTGGATGATTTGGCTGTAAAGTATAGATATTCCTCCAATTGGCAGTTACAGGGGTGCGCGTGTGTTGATAGCTGTATAATGATGCTAGAGAGGGAGGAGGAGGGGAGGTATTCTAGAGCCAGTCACGTGGGCAATGGAATGTGTTCGTGTCACGAGGTGCTAGCTCCTTATTGTTTCAATGACGGTGTTAACAGATTTACACGTGAAGTGGGGTTTGGTGTGAGGAGATCCTATATCGAGCCGTGAAAACACGTGTCTCATGTGGAATCCCAAGTGGAAAAGGTGCGAATCGTTCTCACAATTAGCATACTGCTACTAACGAGAGAAAGCTATCAATTAAGACACAAAACACTTATCATAGCTTGCAGTACACCTGGTACCAACTGTAATGTACTGTTATGAGGCCAGTTGAAGTTCCAAATGTCTTGCTGCTGTAGGACATGGATATATAAACAGAGAAGAAGAGCTAGACAATACAATATTTGTAATTCAAATCATATACAAATATATTTCATTTTGTAAATATTTAATGTATGGTTGTATGATATGTGTTTGTTTAGGGTTTTGCGTCCTTGCAACAGCTAAGGTCATTTGCAGACGGCATCTACAAACAATAGGGTCAATCAAGGGCTACTTTAAAGTGCTATCTAACTGAAATGCCATAACCTGGACACTGTACCGTGCCACTCCTTCAGACAATGGGCCTAACAGTGCCATGGAAAATAGTATCGAAAGAGAAAAGTAGGAAATAGAACAAATCTACCATACCATGGCGGCAATATAAAAGGCGAAACCGCAAGCTAATTTTGATATGAAAAGTAAACAACAACAACCAAGGAGGCATGAAAACAAAACGAAGGACAACAATTGCTCAAATACGCTTTGCTAAATAGGAATATTTCCGGTATATGAACTCTTTACGGAATCATATATATAAGCATTATTGCATTTTCCTTCCAAACATTTAAAATATCCAATAAAGTATATATCATGGCTTGACACTATTTCAGGAAAGAAATCTTTCTGGAATGTTTGGTCGTTAGTGTCAATTGAGCTATTTACATGTTGAACATACCACATTGGGTAACAAATATACTATTGTATGAAATGCTACGTGTACGCAATACAATGTCAGGGGCAGTTCGTGCCATCGCTATCACTAACGGGAACACCTAGGATTTGCCGAGCCGCGCTGGTGGGGCCACTATAAACCATGGCACACGCGCGTACACTCTGGGAAGGCGGAACATAAACTACCTAATAATACTTGTCATGTTATAGAATAAACTATCCGGTAATTCTCGCTCTGTAACAATATGAGATGCCTACCCACACCGTAAATATATCTAATTTGTTGTCGTTATGTGTCACTGTGGTGGGGGTCGCCAACTCGACCTGCTGCCATGCCAGTAATGTTGTGAATGGAGATGTCGGTGTGCTACTTACTGTTGATTAGATTATATAAACAATAACATCAAATTCAGGCTTTAAGTAGGTAAAACACTGATGTATCCCGCCCAAAAAGAAATGAAGTACGTTGCTTTATGTTTGCATTATTTGTATATTATATTATTATTTGTATCAATTCGAAACATAACGGAAACATAACAAAAAATCAGCAAACCTTTTGAATGTTTTTTGTTACCGTTATCTCCCTATTAATAATTAACATATAAAAGGTGTAGGTAAGCAAGGATGCATTCAACTTACACACCAATACCATTTGGAGAAATTCATTTTCCTACGTTCTGTTTGTCATTATATTGAAAATCTGCATTTAAATTAGAAACTCATTTCACTAAATGTCAGTAGGTTCATAACATCTTAACTGGCATGTGTACCTTCTCTGTTACCATGCATTTTAATTTTTATTTTGCTTATAATTCAGCATGTCAATCCAGGAATAATATTTACGTCTTCAACGCGTCTATTAGCTCTAAACAAAAATTCAAGAAGTCACTGCAGTGTTGTACAAATTAATACCACTACAGCTACATAATCAGAATTCAGAAAGTACCATCTTCTAGGTAAATACTTTGTACATGTAGGTGAGATTATGCCTGTCTCGTGACGCGAACGTGCATTAATCGAGGTACATAGAACATCCCGTATGAGTAACTAAACCAGACACTAGCCTGCTCCTCATCAAGCAGGACATAAATGTCTCTTTTGTGAGATTCATAAAAATGAAACAAAAGACCTGTCTCTGCTGATCTAAACGCTTTGTCACTAGATCCAACTCCAACACTTGCTCCGTTTTATATGGCGTTTAAACATCCATCCCATGAGAAATTACGATACCACACACGACTTCAATGCTTGAGACCTCACTCCGGCCTTGAATCGAAACAATAAACGGCTCGGAGGAGCATTGAATACTACACGATCTCTTGTCATAGGCCTAATTTTCCAATACTGAGATGCATTAACTACCAATTAAGATAATGAAACCTGCACACAACTCACCGTGCAGATCACGTGATATCGTTAGGTAGGAATAATGTACATTGTATTGCCCTTTTAACAGAACAAGTTCTGGTGGCGATATTCGTCACAATCTTTGCCCTTCATATTTGCACAGTGAGAGTTGATAAAAGTAGTCAACACTAGCAATTTAACGTGTATGTTCCCGTGCGTTTACCAATCCCTTTTATGCTAACAGTACAGGCCACCAATTATATAATATGTCTACCTATGAGTCTGATGCATTGCAATGTTTCATGTTCTAATGGAGTGACCTTTGACCCCACAGTAAAATAGCCCTATCTCGCCTTACCCCCAATCTGGTTTCAATCCCCTTGACATGGTAATTTGGAGTTCTACTTCTTTTC